GCACACCCCCTTCCTGAATATTACAAGATAAAAGATAGCCCACGGGCTCAGGATACAGTTGTTCCATTTCCAACTAACACCCACATCCCCGACGCCTCTATGGTGTTCCTACATCTGCTGAAATTATGAGTACCTTCATCCTCAACTGAGGAAGAGCTTCATCGTCTGCTAAGCTCCCGGGTATCTGGTTTTGATGCTACCTATTGAGTACCACTTTTATTTCACCTTCCCTCCACGGTGTTCAGGTACACATGGCTCTTTCCTTCCCTCGCCTAAGGAACCTTTTTCTGTATGCTAAAAATAAGAACATAAGAACATAAGAGACGCCAATGTTGGATCAGGCCAAAGGCCCATCCAGTCCAACACTCTGTGTCACACAGTGGCCAGAAATACCAGATGCCATCAGGAGGTCCACCAGTGGGGCCAGGACATTAGAAGCCCTCCCACTGTTGACCCCCTCCCAAGCACCAGAAGACAGAGCATCACTTGCCCCAGAGCCCCTATCTATACCTTGTGGCTAATAGCCACTGATGGACCTCTGCTCCATATGCTTATCCAATTCCCTTTTGAAGCCGTCCATGCTTGTAGCCATCACCACTTCCTGTGGCAGTGAATTCCATGTGTTAATCACTCTTTGGGTGAAGAAGTACTTCCTTTTATCCGTTCTAACCCGACCGCTCTGCAGTTTCAAGGAGTGCCCACGAGTTCTTGTATTGTGAGAAAGGGAGAAAAGTACTTCTTTCTCTAACTGCTCTATCACATGCATTATCTTATAAACCTCAATCATGTCACCCCTCAGTCGTCGTTTCTCCAAGCTAAAGAGCCCTAAGCGCTTTAACCTTTCCTCATAGGGAAAGTGTTCCAACCCCTTTATCATTCAAAATTGCCTTTTCTGTTGGTTATGCTTGTAACCTATGCCAATAAAGGTCCTGACAACTAAGGAGCTTTCACGGCAGAAGAGGAATTTGAACCCAGGTCAAACTCCATTCCTGCACTCTAACCACTACATCACACTGGCTCTCTATAGTAGGTCAAGCTCAAACACAGAAACTAGACGCTCAACCAAAAAAGCTCTGTGCAGTTGAAGGGCAGTTGAAGGGCAGCCTTCGGAACTGTGTTTTCCTTACAGAGAGAATTTCCATGTGTGTGTGTGGGAACTGTGTACATAGTTGCACACTGAAGTTCTTGTGCATATTTGCAGCCTGCATCCGTTTCAATCTGTGCCTTTGTTGCAAAATATGACACCACATGAGGTTCGGTGGTTTATCTCACTAAGGGGAGAATGGTGAATGGTTAGGTATCAACACACTTCACATGCACTTTCTTGATAAATTTATAAACAATAGGAAGCTGCCCTATGTCAAGTCAGACAGCTGACCCACCCAGCTCAGTATCTCCTACTTTGATTGGCTGTAGCCCTCCCAAGGTCTCGGAGGGAAGAAAGTAGGTCCTGGGGAAAGACCCCACTAGAGATTGCCGGGAACTGAATCTGGGACCTCTTGGGACAGAACTCATGTGGTCTACCACCGTGCCACAGCCTTCTCAGTGCCTCTGAACATACGAAGTTGTCTTACACAGAGTCAGACCATCGGTCTGTCTTAATACTATCTGCTCAGGTTGCCAGAGACAAAGGTCTTTCCCAATGCCTGCCACCCAAGATCCCTTGACTGGAGATGCCAAAGTCAGAACCGGGGACTGTCTGCATGCAAAACAGGTGCTCTGCAACTGTGCTATGGCACTTCCCCAGTGCTTATCAATATAAAAACAGGACAGGCCAGCATCCTATCTAATTTCAAACCAAACCATAGAGTGTGGATTAATGGATCTGCAAAACAGATCAAAGGACAAATGTACCAGGTTTGCAGAATAATTTGAGAGCTAAGAAAAAAGCAAAACAACTACAGCGCACAGTGGGATCAAAACTACCCAGAATAATAGAAACAATGCCTCTAGCTTTAAGAAAAGAACGCCCACTGAGCTCTTGATGGCCATTTTGGATGTTGCTAGGTAACTACCACAATTTTGCTGAGACTTCCCAAGCTTTGTTTTCTGTAAAGCAAAGCCATGGTAGGCAGAAGCAGGGGGTGGACCTGGAGACTAAAACAGCCCCGGAAAGGGTCCCATCTCCATCCCCTGTCATGTCTACTGATGGAAGACTTGCTGATGGCAACCACTGGAAACTCACTGCTCACACCATTGGGCTAGGCCAGGGGTGGCCAAATGGTGGCTCGGGAGCCACATGTGGCTCTTTCACATATATTTTCTTTCTTCGTTACTTTCTCTCTTTCTTTCTGTCTCTCTTCCTTACTTCCTCCCCTTCCCTCCCCCATCTATTTGCTTTCTTTGTTTCTCCCTCTCCCCCCTTCCTTCCTCCCCGATCTATTTGCTTTCTTTCCACCTTTCTTTCTCTTTTTCTGTCTTCCTTCCTTCCCCCTCCCTCGCCATCTATTTGCTCTCTCACTCTCTCTCTCTCCACCTCTTTCATTCTTTCTTTCCACCTCTCTCTTTCTTGCTCTTAAACAAATATCATTAGCAAACAAATAAATATCACTGGATAAATAGATATCATTAGCAATATCTGTTTTTACCCCTCTTGTTTTTATTTTTGGTAGTCTCAATAAATGTAATATTTGTTCACCTCTTGCGGCTCTCAGACATTTATTCTATGTGGCTCTTATGTTAAGTAAGTTTGGCCACCCCTGGGCTAGGCTTTTTTCCTAAGGAAAGCTGCTAGGGGAGGGAAAGCAGAAGATGGGGCAGATAAAGATAGGCGGGCAGGACAGAAGACAGCAGGAAGAAGGGAAAGGCTATTGGGCCTGCCTAGGGAACGAAAGAGGAAATAGTGGGGGGAAGGGAAATCCTTGCAGCCCCCCCCCTATTTGCTCTGTTATAAATGGGTGGGAGTGGGGCTGAGACTGAAAGAACAGAGACCTGGCAAAAGCCAGCTACTGAGTTAATGGTAAAGGCAAGCTTAAGAATGGGCTTATCTTGGTTCACAGTTCAGCCTCTTTGGCACTTTTACCTCTCCCTTCCTCCAAGGAGCTCAGAGCAAACGGGTTGCACGTACAATCACCCTGGGAGGTAGGTTAGCTTGAGAGAAAGCAACTGGCCCCCAGTCACCCAATAAGGGTCATGGCTGAGTGGGGGTCTGAACCTGCATCTCTCAGGCTCTAATCAGACATTCTCTGAACTACTGCGTCACACACCCGACTTGTTCTCCACTCTTCATCAGCCTGCTCAGAGGATCTCCGTGCATGACCAGGGTTTGTGCAGATGCCCTGAGGTTTCCTCCCAACAGCAAGAGAGGCTTTACAAGAACTGAACCACAGCAGAACTCCAGCCCTCCCCAAAACAGAGAACTGCAACTCAGTTCATACTGCAAGTTAGAAACGACGTCTATACTCACCGCTATGGAATTTTGAAACAGCCAAAGGTGTGGCACGAAAGATTTCCACCCAGCCTCTCAAATGCTACCAAAATCTTGAAAAGGAAGTAATGCACTCTAAAAGCATATACTGCACAACCAAACAAAGCCCCTATTCAGGACGGTCTAACGGGAGGGTGCCTGCGCGGAAGTCCTTAAATTCAGAGTTGCATATGCCCCCCCCCCAAAAAAAACTGTTTCACCAGTAGTCCTGCAGGCCAAACTCCTCCCTAGAACTAATCTCAATCATGATCTGTAACCAAATTTGACAATAACCTCTTACAAAACCCAAGCCTGCCTTTGCCAAAGTTGATCTCTAACACAAACGCCTCCAGCACTATCTCAGCCATGTGACTTGAGACCAGCCACAGAAGCATTTGTGGCATCTATCGCTTGTGGGATCTGCGGGGCTGTTAGAATCAACTGGATTAGTGGAGAACTGAAATTCTTTACTGAAACGCAATCTGGGCCAGCTGTTTGGAGACTTCAACGCAGGAGCGTTGCGTGCCGGAGAGGGAAGACGAGGAGCATCTCGGAAGCTACTGGACAAAGAGGGCGAGAGGGTGGAGTAATCCCAAACACAGTCTTGTACCCTTTCTTTTAAAAAAGGATCTCCAAACTCTTGCCCAAATGAACATAAACAGATGCAACTGCCGAATACACAGTCAGACCATTAATCTACCTCGTCTAGCCCAGTGCGGTCAACTCTGATGGGCAATGGCCCATCGGAGTCTTTTCCAGATCCTTCAAATTGAGATGCCAACGACTAAACATGAAGCTCCCTTATCAGAACATTGGTACATCGAGGTCAGTACTGTCTGCCCAGCAGCAGCTTTGGGGTATTTCACATCACTCATTATTCTGATCCTTTCAACCGGAGATGCCTGGGATTGAACCAGGGACCTTCTGCATGCCACGTAAATGCTCTACCACTGAGCCATGGCCCCTCCCCCCAAAACTGGGATCTATGAGCTTTATGGGGGGAGGGGGGAGAGAGAGTTCAAGTTGTGTTTTGGCAATGTGGCTCCCACAAACAGTGTGTGGACCTTCACCGAGCATGCACATTCCTGAGGAACCCCCTAGATCAGTGGTGGCGAACCTATGGCATGGGTGCCAGAGGTGGCACTCAGAGCCCTCTCTGTGGGCACACGTGCCATCGCCCCAGCCAGGCCACCCAGACCATCATAAAAGTGTCGAATGCCAAATAATTTTAAGTAAATGAAAGCATTTGGGATTGCTTTCCTTACTTTCTTTGGATCATCTTAAGTTAATGTATGGGTTGTTTTTTCTAAAGTAAAACCTCAGTATTCAGGTTAAATTGCCGTGTTGGCACTTTGCGATAAATAAGTGGGTTTTGGGTCGCAGTTTGGGCACTCGGTCTCTAAAAGGTTCGCCATCACTGCCCTAGATGCTTCATACTTAAAGGAACACCGGCTACTTTGGATCAATGGCTGGTGGCAAGGCTGATGAAAAACAAGTGAAATGTCCCATTACTGCCACCACCACCCTATGAGGAAAAAGCGCTGCTCTTATTCTGAAGTCGGGCACAAGTGGTAATGTGAAACAGCAAATTTACCTGAAACTTCAGCCAGCGATTTTGCTATAGCATGAGGTATGGGAAGCTCAGGAGGAGGGGCCCGAGAAGATGCCCGGGGAACATCATGCATGCCAAAGCTAGCGGAGGCGGGAGACAATTTCACATCCACGGCCTGCTCGAGGCAGAGGGGCCTCTTCTCCAAGGCGGACTTCTGAGGGGGTGCAGGGGGCTCCGGCAACCTCTCGCCACACTGCCCTGGCTGCCTTGCCCCTGAAAGGGAGAACTTGCTTGGCTTCTCCACCTCTGCCTTCCTCCCTGCTTCTTTGAGGGCCCTGATGGTGAGGTGTTCCTGCTCAAAATCTTGAGTCCCCTTGGGCGGCGGCTGAAAGGGAGGAGCCAACACTTCGGATCTCGCTGCTCTTAGCTCTGCTTCAGAGAACGTTTCCACGGGGTCTTCGGGGGACTCGCTCCCCTTGGATTTCAAGCACTCCTTCATAAAGTCCATAAAACTCTCGTCGTTAGGTGCACCTGGACGGGCAGCCGCTTTGACACTGTCAAAAGCTGGGGTTCCTTTGGGGGAAACGTTTTCGATTCTGGGCTGTTTCCCAAAAAAGCCCTGCTCACGACCACCCACATCCTGAACCTCTTTACCAGGTAAGCTCGGATTAGACCGTTTAGGGAACTGTGGTGCGCCAACTGAGCTTCCTCCAAAAACATCGGCTTTGTTCTGGATGGTCTCAAAGTCATCGATAAATCCCCAACTGCCCTCCGGAGTCTTAGACAGCTTTTCGGCTCCTTGGCCGGGCTTACGGGGCTCGCCTGATCCATTTTCCTTTTTGACAGAGGCCGTTGGTGCGGAGGTTGGCCTCCGAGGCTGCCCACTGCTCTCTGTGCCCTTCTCCCCTCGGAAGGCTGAATCTGCCACAATGTCCTCAATGACAGTGTCGTCTGACTCACCAGAGCTGTCGCCGTCAGCAGTTTCAGGCGAGCCTGGATTTGGCCAACGGACATCAGTCTTCAGTTCCACTACAGGGGCGACTTTCACCGCTGCTGTTTCTCCATTCATCCGTTTTTGAGGCGGCTGCTTTCCCAAGTCTGAAGGGGTTGTTTCTTTTTGATGGGCATTGATCTTGAGAGGCTGGTAAGGGGCGGAAGTTCTACCCGCTTCAGCCTTGCCTGCGCCGCTGGCTCCCTCTTTGGTAAGCGGCGCTCGGTGCTCTGAGCTCAGCGAATTGGCAGTCTTCTCCTCGAGATCTTTCGGAATCAAGTCCCAGCTCATCATCTCGCTCGTGAAGTTGTGCATCTCACGGACACATTTGGACACTTCCTCCAGTGCTGCCGTCGTGCCCGAAGACTGGCGTGACAGTCCGGGCCCTGGTGGAATTCTGCCCCCACCGCGAGGTTTGGCCCGAAACTCGCAAACGCTATCTTCTGGGATGTCTGTGAGCAGCTCCCGTTCACTGTGCATGACCCAGTTGCTACCAATGTCACTGGAGTTGCTGGCGAGGGCATCTTTGAACTCTTTATCAAACTCCAATTTGTCAGCAATGACTTCAAAAGGCGATTCAGGGGAATCTTTGTCCACAACAGCATCACCGGGGGCTGCAGGGCAGGAGGAGAAGGAGGAAGGAGAATATATGACTCTTGTCGGCAATTGTTCAGGTCCTTCTTGTGGGTTGGCTGATACAGTAAATTTGGATTCTCCACCCAAGGCCTGTTGTTTGGGTTGGTCCTGGCTGTTCAGATCAGCTGTACCGCCTGGGTTGACTTCTCCCACAGAGTTATCACGCCCCAGAGAGCCATTCTGACTCACTGGCTCATAATTATGAGCTTTGGATCCAACTGAGAATAAGGGTTCCTCCGGGCCAGGGGATCCAACAGAAGCTGCCTCTATTCCCGAATCTTCACTGGTCCCACTGAAACAGCTCCATCGCTTGCCGTCATTGAATTCTTCTGCATTGAAGGGCGTTGGCTTACCACTCACTTCCCTCTGGTTCTCTGAACGTGTCAAGTGAGACGCTTGGAAGTCTGCTGACGGAAAGCATCCGGGAGAAGGGGGGCTCACAGCTTTGGAGGGCAATTTTTCTGTCAGAGGATGAGGTGTTGTCCCTTCTTGAGGGTCCAGAGTAGAGAAAGGGAGAGATGCACACAGTAGCTGTTACAGATTTCACACAGTGAAGCAGGCAGCATGCTCTTAGAACTAGAGGGGACGACAAGACTCCAAAACACCAGCATTGGCGAACATGCATGGGACCATCACCCAAAGGACAGGGAAGCCACTTCACAAGGGAGCTGCCATCCACATGAACATAAAGCCACCAATGGTCGAGTTTCATAGCACATGGGGGCGCTGAAGCCAGCAAAAAAAAAATGATCAAGTGTGCAAAAGAACTTGGCATGCTGGGTAGGTGAACAGAAGCTATCTCGTCAGTGCATTTGAATGTCTGTGAGGATCTGTGAGTGCCGGTGCAACCTAGTCCTACTGAAATGGCCTCGCTCAAATCGGACGGGATCTCTGAGCAAACAACAGAAGCCTTGGCAAACTGCAAAGGTAATCAAAATATGGCACACTCCGCCACAGTACGATACGATACCACAATGGCCTGTTCTAGCCCACAGTCCTTCAATGGTACAGAACAGTCTTGCACACCTTGCTACAACCCCACAAGGAGGCCAACCAGGTAACTGGATGCTGAGTGATTCTGTTACCCAGAGAGCCTGTTCTTGATGTCTGGGCAACAGGAAACATACAACGAAGAGCTGGAAAGGCAGGTTCTTCCACTATCATCCCTTAAGTTACCAGGATTGCATTTACACCATGGAGGAATTCTGGGAGCCTCTCCTCAAAAACGGGACTGTGGTTGTGAAAGGAACTGAAGGTGCATTGCCCCAAAGCGATCTGCCCACACATCTGAGTAAACGGAACTGGAGTCACTCAGCGGAATTTCCTTCTAAATTACTTGATGCTGAAACACCATGGGAAAGTAAAGCTGTCTTTTGGCCAAAGAGTGCTACTATAGCCAGAGGGTGTAATCCACAAAGGGACTTCTCAGGAACAACTGAGGTCTGGACTAAGAGTTGAGGCTTGCAGTGAATTACCAAAATGCCAACTTGTGTGTTACTTGAGCTAAGCAGAGATGATGCGTGGGGAGGATAATGTCTTATTATTGAGGGGCTCAATCGCTTGTTCGGCCATCTCTTTCAGCAACCCATTTTTCATTGTGCGCACGCAAACTTCCAAAACATGGAAATTCTGTTCTGACCTGGAAATAGGTCTCACAGATATCAGTGAGTAGAAACGTTCACTGTCACCACAACTATAGAGCAAGAAACTCAAGATGCCCAATACAGAGGCAATGCAGGTGAAAAACGTACCACTAGCTCTCTTGGATAAGACATCAACTTTGCACAATCTGTTGACAGCGGGCTGACTTTGAAAATGCCACCACAATAGAAGGGTAATAAGGTTTCTGAGATGTCCTATATTACATGGAGCCATGGGAACACAGCATACACACATGGCACTTCCAAACATTTTACAAGTGTTCTTTGCCGAATCTGGGAATGGATGCCTTCTGTGGAATGGGTACAGGCAGAGCGTGGACAGAGATTCATGTTGGAATGCCACCAGTCCACAACTCTGCTTTCCCGAGACATTTCTGCCTAAGATCAAACACACATCTGTGGGAGCTCACTGCCTCCAATGCCCAAGCCAGCACATCTGAAGGCCAGTTCCAAAACTCAACCTGAGGAAGGCCTTCAGGGCTCCAGGGAAACGCGCCAATCTCTCAGCAGAGAATCTGTTTGCAAAGCAACTTTTCAAAGCCTCTCCATGATACCTTTCACTCTGGTCTGAGTGGGAGTGAAAATACGTATATTCCACCGAGCAGCACGTGCTTTAAATTATTAAGGCTTTTCAAGCTGGTGGCTTTGGCGGAATAGGTCTCTCCTTGGTGGTATTTAAATGCTGCTATCAGGAGGAAAAGGGCGAGGTTTCTGAGATAGAGTACGTGCTTCGCATGTAGGAGGACCCATGTCTAAGCCCGGGTGTCTACAAATAAAGAACATCAAGTAGTGGGGATGAGTCATAGCCAGTGTTCCCTCTAAGCTGAGTTAGTGTGAGCTAGCTCACAGTTTTTTAGCCTCTGGCTCAAACATTTTTGTCTTCGCTCGGGAAGGATGGCTCCAGAGCAAAACTAATTTATGCGGTAGCCAAATCGCTTGTTCACAGCTTTCACACCAGTAGCTTACAAAGTAGAATTTTTGCTCACAAGACTTCACAGCTTAGAGGGAGCATTGGTTGCTAGTCAGGGCAGACCAATAGATGGACTCACCATAAAAATCACCTACACAACTTGAGAGGACTCCTAGTGGCAGAGCACCCGTTCTGCACACAGAAGACCCTGCTTCAACTCTGGTTAGAGGATTGTAGGGAACAGTTCGGGGGAAACCCAAGTCCTTGGAGAGCTACAGCTATGCAAAGGATACAACACTGGACTATACGGACCCAGGGGTGGACTGACCTGCTAAAACAGCCTAGAAACAAGCTGAAAAGCCCCACAGGAACTGCCCAGGTTGGACCCAGTCGGCTGCAACCAGCATAGCCTCACCCATTACCACCTGGGTCAGAGCCAAGTGGGCCCTGTGCTGGTGCTGGAGGTTCTGGGGCACAGTGACGCTTGCTTCTGGCCCCTGGCAGCCCTCCAGGAACTTTCCCAGTGGGTTAAAGGGCCAATCCACCTTGAATGAGATCAGCAGCTTGACAGCACCAGGCAGCTTCATACTTTAGAAGACTTCTAAAGAGCAGAAAGGTCTCTCGGGACTATCCCTTATTCCAGGGCTCCCCAACCTCTTTGAGCCTGTGGACAGATTTGGAACTCTGACACAGCATGGCGGGTGTGGCAACAAAATGGCTGCCGTGGGAGGCGGAGCCAGTCACAAAATATCTGCCAGAGCTTATCTTCAGTCACAGGGTGAAGATCCTTGTGCTGTGGTGGCAGCTGCTGCCAAAAAAGCATTAAAAAAAAAATCTTCATGGGCAATCTTATCACCAATAGCCAATCAGAAGCCTTAGTGGGCAAAAGACCTACCTGGCCCCACCCACTTAAAAAAACACTTGGCGGGCACCAGAAAAAGGTGTCAGTGGGTACCACGGTGCCCACAGGCCCATGTTGGGGACCCCTGCCTTATACAGTTTAGAAAAGGAGGCTCCCGTTATCTGCAACAACACACCATCGCCAACCGTAAGATCCAGCCCGTGACAAAGTGAAATGGAGACGAACTAGCAAGACCTGATGGCACACAACATTCTGACCTTCATTCTCACTCTGAAGCTCTGCCTTCTGGAAGCAGAGTCGGTCTCATCAAATACGAAACCAAAGCTAATTAAAGTCTGCAAATGGTTCCAATCCCACTGATGCACCTATTCCCCTATGGGTAAGGTGTTTTTTCCCCTAATACACACGCTTCAATACATTGTATGTATAATCTCAGTGCCTAACATTAATAGAGGCAGCTGAACTGTTCTCAGAAGCACATTTCTAGTGCTCAACTCTTCTAAAAAGGAAAGGCCTACGGTGTGAGAAGGGCTAGTTAGAGCAACGGCTTCCCAACTGGGCTCACAGGAACTCTACAGATTCATGGGAACTTGGAAACAATTAATTGGAAAAAATATTAATCAGACTTGCCTGAAAGACACACATGAAGCTGCACCTATACTGAATCAGACCCTTGCTCCATTCAGGTCAGTATAGTCTACTCAAACCAGCACCTACTCTCCAAGGTCTCAGGCAGAGGTCTTCCATATCACATAACACCTGACCCCTTTAACTGGAGATGCCAGGGACTGAACCCAGAACCTTCTGCGTGTGAAGCAGATGCTGTACCCCTGAGGCCGGCATCTCCCCCCTGACTGCCTGCGCCTACCACTATCAATCTCAAGCAACCCCCACCCTAGTGGGAGAATGGGCACATCCCAGGCCCTGTGGGTGCCGCACTACCAACCACTACAATGCAGCACCCACAGGTTCCTCAGAAAGCACATCAGGTTGGAAAGGGTCATGGACAGCAAGAAGCTTCAAAAATATGGCATTCAAACTCTCATCCAAGCCTCAAAAGCTAGAAAAAAAGCCTGGAAAGCCCTGGATAAAAAATAAAATAAAAACGGGAAGGGGGAAGTTTTGCTGCCAGACTTAACCTTCCACCATTTTCCCCAACAAGCTGTCAAGACGAGCCCAACGTAGAGCTTAGGATATGGGGACCAGGGAGTTCTTTCCCATCGTCACTGAGCCTCCAAAATGTGTGGGGTGGGAGGGTGAGATTTTCACATGGGGGGGGCAACATGAAGAGGGTGCTAAGCATATTGTCTGGACCCTTCAGCAGTCTGCTGGCGTTCTCGCTTTTCATCAATGCCACCCCCAAACCTCTAGTGGAAAACTATTCAGAACTGGTTTTGTGCTCTTGTCGCTCCAGTACAGCCAGTGAAACAGACAAAGGTGAGACTCAAGGGAGAAGGACACCGCGTGCAAAAGCAGCCGCAACAGCACGTGATATAGCCACAGCATCAAAGATAAGAAGTTAGCCATCGCTCTGCAGCCAAGCTGGGTCTTGAGGGAACTTTTAAAGTAGTGGAGGGGGGAAGAATATAAGAAAAATGTCTTTCCCCACCCAAAAAAAGGCTGTAACTGGTTTCCTGCAATTTGTCCTGAATGTTCTTCATTTTTAAAAAGCTTTCCTATTCCGGAAAACTTAGTGCATTTCCAAAGGCAAGAAAGCAGCTATGGCTGTTAGCCATCATAGCTAAATTGAGCTTCCGTGTTCAGAGGCAGTGTACCTCACAGTGCTCCCTCCAAGCTGAGTTAGTGTGAGCTAGCTCACAGTTTCTTAGCTTCCGGCTCACACATTTTTGCCTTAGCTGAGGAAGGATGGGCTCCAGAGCAAACTAATTTATGCGGTAGTCAAATCGCCCTCTCACAACTTTAATGCCAGCAGCTCACAAAGTAGAAATTTTGCTCACAAGACTCCATGGCTTAGAGGGAGCATTGCCTTTGAACACTGGACAGTAGGGAGAAACAGTAAGGGATGGCTCTCCATTTCCTGCTCATGGGCTACTGCTTCTGGCTACTCCACGCTGGAGCAGATGGGAACCTCTGATCTGATCCAGAAGGGCAGTTCTTGCATCCTTACCCAAGCAAGGTGGGCAAGGTGCACATGGAAGTTCACACTATCACACTGCCCTAGGTTTCAGGGCGGATTAAATGGAGCAAAGCGGTGCTAATTAATCTGGAATAAACACCCTTATACTTTTGATGCTCCAAAGGTTTCGGCAACCATTTGTTTATGGATTGACAGAACTAAACCCTTTGGGCTGGATCCTACAGGTGCACAACTGGCAGTTTTGTGATGGCAGAACTTTGCCTGCCTTCCCCTTCTCACAATGCAAGCAGGGTGTGTGTGAGTACAGTGAAGAGGAAAAATTAGCAGAGACCTCCCTTAATCTTACTTGTGTGCCAGCAGAAAGCTTGGTGGAGGAAGTGCTGTCCACGGGGCCCTCTGGCTGCTGGGAGGACGGGAAGGTGGGGAAAGATTTGCCAGTGCCTTCTGCTTGTGCAGTCTGCCAACTGCATGTTTATCTTGCCTGGTCTCGTCAGGTTCTCAGGGCGGGGTGCATGGCTCTCCCTTCCATTTTAATCTTGCGATGGCTCCGTGAGGCCGATAAGGCTGAGTTGGGTCTGACAGATTGGGGTGTCTAACTCATTTATTACGAGGGCCAGATCTGACATAAATGTCACTTTGTTGGGCCGGGCCATGTGTGTTAACACAAAGTACGCTCTGGTACTTTGCGTTACATTTTATGGCACGCATGGTCCGGCCTGACAAAGTGACATTTATGTCAGACCCGGCCCTCGTAACAAATGAGTTCGACACCCCTGGATTGAACCCTTCACCACACTGGATCCAAAGCATGGCTTCTAGTACACTTGGAGGCATGAAGAGCTAGGAGACGTTAAATCCTTCTCTGAGCCGTTTTGCCTGAGCTCTGTGAACTAGACCTCATAAGGCCAGGCACACACACAACGGAGCCTCAGAGTAGACACAGCACTACTCTGTTCTGACAGCTGTTCACTCAGAAACACTTGCATGGCCCAGTATCAGACTGGCTTATTTGGTGTAGTGGTTAAGTGCGCAGACTCTAATCTGGGAGAACCGGGTCTGATTCCCCACTCCTTCACTTGCACCTGGCTGGATGACCTTGGGCAAGCCATAGTTCTCTCAGAGCTATTCTCTCAAGGACAGTTCTGGAAAGAGCTCTCTCAGGCCCATCTACCTCACAGGGTGCCTGTTGTGGGGAGGGGAAGGAGTTTGTAAGACGCTCCGAGACTCCGTTGGGAAGTGAAGGGCGGGGCATAAATCCAATCTCCTTCTTCTTAACAGCAGTAACTAGTCCACTGCCCGCAGGATACCCCTTGTGACATAGTGTTCATGAAACACTGATGTTTTTCTACTGTTGGTATTAACTCATACTCAACTGATCATGTAGGATCAGCATGCAGTACTAAAAAGAGTTGGACTTGAGGTCTCAGAGCAGTTTACAATCACCTTTCCCTTCCTCTCCCCACAATAGAAACTCTGTCAGGTAGGTGAGGCTGAGAGAGCTCTTTTGAGAACTGCTCCTGAGAGAAAAGCTCTGAGAAACTGACCCAAGGTCACACCAGCAGCTGCATGTAGAGGAGTGGGGAATTAAACTTGGTTCTCCAGATTAGAGTCTGCTGCTCTTAACCATTACACCAAACTGACTGCATTACTCTAGAGGAAAAACCCCAAACTTGCTTTTTTTGTCCACAACAATCTCTGCAGTTTTGCAATGCAACTGGAACAGGGACATGGAGGTTTCTTGCATTTAATGAGCTCTTTTCACACCATGGCGTTGAGTTCTCTCCCTTTCAGAGAACCCTTTCTACACTGACATGTCAAGGAGATCCCTGTATAGTGCATAGGAACTCTCGAGGACCCATACTTCAAACAGTACATTGGCCAGGCTTGCTAAGTTTCAGGCCTGTCCCTCTGCACTCCGTATACAGAATGCATCACTGCCAGACCCTTCATGTAAGAGCCCCAAATGGTCTCTCTGGATCAGACTGAAGGGCTGTCTTATAGAGTTGTTTTTTGTTGCCCCAGAAGGTCGGACCAGAACCAACGGGTTGAAATTAAATCGAAAGAGTTGTCAGCTAAACATGAGGAAGAACTTCCTGACAGTTAGAGTGGTTCCTCGGTGGAACAGGCTTCCTCAGGAGGTGGTGGGCTCTCCTGCTTTGGAGGTTTTCAAACAGAGGCTAGATGGCCATCTGACAGCAATGCAGATTCTGCGACCTTAGGCAGACCATGAGAGGGAGGGCAGGAAGGGCTGCATTAGTGCTTAGATTTTGTGGCTCTTTCTTACACACCCAGTGAAATGGTGATCGCCACTTTGGGCCAGAAAGCAGTTTTTCTCCAGACCAGTTTGGCTGGAGATCCTGGAGGGTTTTTGTCCATCTTCTGGGCATGGAACAGGGGTCACTGGGGGTGTGGAGGGGGAGGTATTTGGGTATTTCCTGCATTGTGCAGGGGGTTGGACTAGATGACCCTGGAGGTCCCTTCCAACTCTATGATTCTATATATGTGACATACATTGTATAGGGGAACCATATGTTTGATAATAGAGATAGAAACTAGGTGTGTCATAGAATAGAATTTTACAGATATTGAATCACACAGGGTATAGTTTATTAAAATCTTTATTACTG